TTTATATATTAAGTTAGTTCAAACTATAAAATTAATAAATAAACTATAAAATTAATAATTAATTTAAAGAAATGTATATTTATTTTTAAATTCAAATATTTAAATTTTCAAATATAAAATTTTATTATTAATTTCTTCTTTTTAACGAAACTAAAATTCATTCATTTTTATTTATTTTTTTTTTGTTTTTTTTAAATGAATTTTAAAATATGTTTTTAAAGTAAAAATTGTGTCTCCCAGATGCTTGGCGGAATGTCCCGCTTTAGGGGGATAACATAATGAATGTTTCTCATGAAAATATGTTTCTGACTCTCCTCGATTCTCTGACTGGACGACGCTAGTATTCTTATTATATAGGTTGCATCGACAGTCGATTAAATAGTCTCCCTCAAGATAAAATATACACGTTCGAGAGCAATTCTAAGTCAACCAGTAGGCCAATATAATATCCCAACATGTCACTCGTTTGAGTGACATATCTCTGAAGCTGACATCTGTCTGTCTTCAGTGGATGCAATGAAAGGGTCTCTCAGTGAATACTACATAGACAAAAACGAGAAAACTCATCGCAACGCTGAAGACAATGGATGCTTCTGGTGAAATGTAACGTCTGTACTGAAAATTCTAGCGAGAAACTGCACATCGCTTAGATCTTATGCGAAAAATTCACTAACCAGTGAAATATTATGCAACAAATGTGTTCCAGCGGAGAAAGCGGTGCCGAGTAAATTCTTTGTTGCGTAGCAGTTAAATTGGGATGAATTGTGGGACAATTTGTATTTACAATTGTCACAATTTAGTTTTTATAGTATCCTGTATATTTTGAAATGAATCCTACTCCGTAGTCCATTGTAGTTTATATTACTGAGTCAGTGGAGGTCTAAACTATTGATGTTAAACGTATATATTAATAAAGATTCGCTGATCTAATGGGAAAAAAATCCTGTTATCCTTCTCTCTCTCTCGTGTATCTTTCGTCTGATCATCTTACACTCATTGTCTTGGGGTCAGTGTAGATTGTAGGCGCAAGGCAAAGCAGTGTAAGGCCGTTGTTTGGTGTAGGTGAAATCAAATATGAAATATCCGAAATTGGAAAAACATGAGAAGAATCTCGCTTTGACTCGCAAAACATGGCCACTTTAATAGAAACAAACAATTGTTAACGAATTCTTATAATTTCGTTAAATTATTATATTTAAATTACTATTTGTATCCAAAAAATAGCTTTTTTGTTATTCTTTTAAAGAAATTATTTTGAAAACTTTTAATATACAGTNTCATCTTACACTCATTGTCTTGGGGTCAGTGTAGATTGTAGGCGCAAGGCAAAGCAGTGTAAGGCCGTTGTTTGGTGTAGGTGAAATCAAATATGAAATATCCGAAATTGGAAAAACATGAGAAGAATCTCGCTTTGACTCGCAAAACATGGCCACTTTAATAGAAACAAACAATTGTTAACGAATTCTTATAATTTCGTTAAATTATTATATTTAAATTACTATTTGTATCCAAAAAATATCTTTTTTGTTATTCTTTTAAAGAAATTATTCTCCATTTATCATAATTGCCAGCAGAAATTGATTAACATATTTCATAATTAAAACGATTTTATTTTTACTTTTATTTTTCTAAATAATTTTTAAATTAAAAGTCTTAATTTCTAAATTGATATCATTCCTTTTGTTAATTGAAAAGCGTGTATTTTATAAAAAGAAAAATAAACGAATCAATTGAAGATGTAGTTTCTAATTACTCAATTTGATAATTCTGTTTATTTTACTATTGAATTGTACTTTAAACATTCACAGAAATATCTCAAGTACGTCTTAACACACGTATTTTTTACTACTTTATCGTTATTGGTATATGATAAATTTAGTTTTCAGCCATCTTTTTTTACTTTTGCAAGATATTAAGTATCATTCTTTAAACGTTTTTAATATGTTAAGCATTAATATAAATAAAACATTTCTAATTATATAAAGTATACATTTAACCTACTAATGCAATTTCTACTTTAAAATATTTTAAAATATAATACTCCGTAATTATGTTAAAACTTTCATATTATTAAATGACTTCACATTTGTAAAATTAAATTTATATATTTACACGAAGTGAATCTCTAACTTAAGCAGATTTTTTCTTTTTTCCTTAGGGACCATCCACTAATTTTACATGTACAGTTTCTGAGCTATTCACTCACTCTCTCTCCCCGTTGTGTACAATGATATAACCTACTCGTACTTTTGGCAAACTCTACTTCTTTAATTAAATGTACAGTACAATAGTTCATGGACCTCTTGACATTAAAGAAATGACTTTAAAAAAGTTCTGCAAATATTTTCTGATAGTTTATTCAAATGTCTAGTAAATAGCTTATAAAAAACAAATTCATATGCCACTAGAAAAATCAACGTGGACTTGCTTCGATCCCCTTCCGCATCGTGTATAATTTTCACGATCCCCTTTTAAACTGTACACTTAAATTATTGGACAGCGAAATAAAATACAGTGAAATGTAAACTTAAAAAAAGTCTTATTCTGATAATTATACTAGCAAACAAAACTGGATATCGTTTATTTTCATTAATAAAAATGTACTTTTAGTCATTTAAACTTAGAAAATCAAATTTATTTATATAACTTTAAATATAAAATTTATTATTTTGAATAAAAATATTAAAATTTTAATAAAATGCTTTATTATTCTTTTATAAAATCAATTCCATTCTCAGGTTTTTAATTAAAATTCACTTCAAACGTACGTACCTGCTCACTTAAAATGTTTATAGTTACTCCCTTGGAGTCGAACTAACAATCAGCAAATCATCCTAAAAAATAAAATAATATTATATTTAAAAGAATTCATTATATACATCATTAAAATTTTGAAAAATAATTTTTAAATAAACGAAAAAAATGAATGATTTTTATTGAAAAATTCAATAGTTATGAGTTAACGGTACTTGTATTAGTCCATTTGTTAATAGAACATTTAAAAGTTTTAAATTTCGAATTCATTTATCTAGAAGATAGAATTTGAAGTGTTAATGATATGACCTACACTCGTTAATATATTATTAGAAGTTGAAAATTCATTGATTGCTTCGACACAGCAACATCCTGATTATGTCAAACGAGATGGTTGATACAATCACCTTTCATTTACAAATTTAAATGTTGTTTCATAAATTGATATCTTAAATTAGTTTTACATCCTTGATCTGACAATTTTAATAAATTTTGATACGCGATTATTTAAGATAGTTCATATATTATCAAATAAATACTTTATAAGAGGAAAAAAAATTCATTTATGGTTATAATATTTAATTCAAAATTTTCTAATATTATTAACTTATATATAATTCATTATTGTTAATTACTCACAAAGAAAATAATTAAAAATTTCTGTAATTAATGATTAATAAATTATGACTTATTTTAAAATCATTTTATTATCTGCATTCATTAATATTATCACTAACGAGAATAAGATAAAATAATATAATTTATTTATTTTTAAATATAATTTATTGACGATAAACATCAGTTTAAAGAGAATTTTTTAAATAATTAAATATAATTTAATATTTAATTATTTTTGTGTTGATTCTTCCTGCCTTATGGCCACAAAGAGGGTCTTTTTTAGGTCTATGGTAGGTTCGGCCAGGCCCACAATGGAGGCGACCGAATGGTGAGGAATGAGGCCCAATATATCAGGAACACAAACCCCGAAAACTTCCTGGAGATTTTCGATCGCCCGGATTCGATTCAGGATCCCGAAAGGACAGGCTGACCCTTAATTAATCTCCTCGGTCACCCGGTCAGCATAATATTTACATTTATACCATAAATATAATTTGTTATTTTTAAGTTAGGTTTTCTTCCATTTATTCTACTATTTAATATGATATAAATCAATATGTTTTTTTTAAAAAAGTATTTTGTTCAAAAGGAAGATATGAAAATTTTAAGAGTGTACAACAATAATAAATAAGAAATGCCGAAAATACACATTTTAGTTTGTAAATCATATATATATATATATACCCAAAGAAAGAAAGACTCCGACAGAAAAACGTGTTTTAGTTCCATTTGGGATCTGATCTTACATTGAATCCTCTAACATGCTGAGCTCAGTTAATAAACAAACATATGACATGTTTAAAAATGACTATTCTCAGGGAGAGTTAAGTACACAAACTTATGATAGGTTTAAAAATAACTGTTCTCAAGGTGAGTTATAAAATCAAATTCTATTTTTCGTTTTGAAAATGCATTCGTTCATATTAGGAAAAAATGTTGCTAATCAAATACTGCATCTAAAACAATTAGACTTAAAATTAACAGATTGCGACAAAAACTCCAGATTGAATTTCTTTCGTTAAGTTTATTGATTAATTTATCAATATAAGATATCAGTGCATTAATACTAAGTAGCCTGTCACAGTTTCCTCCATAATGTCCGGGGATCGACAAACATGAGAGATGGAGTCTCGTAGTGGGAACACACAAACGTTTTCATTAAATGGAAGAACAACAAAAATCTGTCAATAAATTTTCTTTCTGCTAATAGAGATATTATAACTTTTGTTTCTCGGATATTCTTCAAAATATTATCTTTTTAGCAATTTAAAATTACAGAATAAATGCTTTACTTGCAAATTGCCAATAATATTTAGGCTAATTTATTCATAAAGCCTATATATATCCTAATTGCAATCATTTTAAAAGAAGTTTAAAAGTTTTAAATTTCGAATTCATTTATCTAGAAGATAGAATTTGAAGTGTTAATGATATGACCTACACTCGTTAATATATTATTAGAAGTTGAAAATTCATTGATTGCTTCGACACAGCAACATCCTGATTATGTCAAACGAGATGGTTGATACAATCACCTTTCATTTACAAATTTAAATGTTGTTTCATAAATTGATATCTTAAATTAGTTTTACATCCTTGATCTGACAATTTTAATAAATTTTGATACGCGATTATTTAAGATAGTTCATATATTATCAAATAAATACTTTATAAGAGGAAAAAAAATTCATTTATGGTTATAATATTTAATTCAAAATTTTCTAATATTATTAACTTATATATAATTCATTATTGTTAATTACTCACAAAGAAAATAATTAAAAATTTCTGTAATTAATGATTAATAAATTATGACTTATTTTAAAATCATTTTATTATCTGCATTCATTAATATTATCACTAACGAGAATAAGATAAAATAATATAATTTATTTATTTTTAAATATAATTTATTGACGATAAACATCAGTTTAAAGAGAATTTTTTAAATAATTAAATATAATTTAATATTTAATTATTTTTGTGTTGATTCTTCCTGCCTTATGGCCACAAAGAGGGTCTTTTTTAGGTCTATGGTAGGTTCGGCCAGGCCCACAATGGAGGCGACCGAATGGTGAGGAATGAGGCCCAATATATCAGGAACACAAACCCCGAAAACTTCCTGGAGTTTTTCGATCGCCCGGATTCGATTCAGGATCCCGAAAGGACAGGCTGACCCTTAATTAATCTCCTCGGTCACCCGGTCAGCATAATATTTACATTTATACCATAAATATAATTTGTTATTTTTAAGTTAGGTTTTCTTCCATTTATTCTACTATTTAATATGATATAAATCAATATGTTTTTTTTAAAAAAGTATTTTGTTCAAAAGGAAGATATGAAAATTTTAAGAGTGTACAACAATAATAAATAAGAAATGCCGAAAATACACATTTTAGTTTGTAAATCATATATATATATATATACCCAAAGAAAGAAAGACTCCGACAGAAAAACGTGTTTTAGTTCCATTTGGGATCTGATCTTACATTGAATCCTCTAACATGCTGAGCTCAGTTAATAAACAAACATATGACATGTTTAAAAATGACTATTCTCAGGGAGAGTTAAGTACACAAACTTATGATAGGTTTAAAAATAACTGTTCTCAAGGTGAGTTATAAAATCAAATTCTATTTTTCGTTTTGAAAATGCATTCGTTCATATTAGGAAAAAATGTTGCTAATCAAATACTGCATCTAAAACAATTAGACTTAAAATTAACAGATTGCGACAAAAACTCCAGATTGAATTTCTTTCGTTAAGTTTATTGATTAATTTATCAATATAAGATATCAGTGCATTAATACTAAGTAGCCTGTCACAGTTTCCTCCATAATGTCCGGGGATCGACAAACATGAGAGATGGAGTCTCGTAGTGGGAACACACAAACGTTTTCATTAAATGGAAGAACAACAAAAATCTGTCAATAAATTTTCTTTCTGCTAATAGAGATATTATAACTTTTGTTTCTCGGATATTCTTCAAAATATTATCTTTTTAGCAATTTAAAATTACAGAATAAATGCTTTACTTGCAAATTGCCAATAATATTTAGGCTAATTTATTCATAAAGCCTATATATATCCTAATTGCAATCATTTTAAAAGAAGTTTAAAAGTTTTCTTTAAGCATATTTCACATTTTCAATAATTAAATAATTAATACAAAATAATTAAGCAAACATAATTTGAATATGTATATATAGGGGAGACCGGGGCAACTTCGGCATGCGGGGCAAGTTTGTCAAGCGCTTTTTTTTAAAAACAAATTAAAAGGAGACTTTGGTTATAGGTTAGGCAGTTGAGTTTTATTGGTGGCTTGTTGAGTGTAGTGTTTTTATTGTTCTCCAACAAGCGTAGTTGAATTATCA